GCAAATAGAAAATGCAAAAGCACGAAACAAAATTACATTCCGGATTGATTGTGTCGCATTTAATCTACTAGGTGCATTCTGTATTGATTTTCGCAGTAATTTTAACTGGGTTATATTAAGTTACAAATATTCATTTTGAATATTTTGCGGTCAAATATTTTCAACTAAAAAATATTAAAATTCACCCGAAATGCTTCAATTATTACTCTTAAATTGAGCGTGTTGGCTTACAGGATGTGTTCCTAATTAATACATAACCCGCACAAAGCAAAACCAAAAAAATTACACACAGGAAAAAAATAAACAAACAAAAGCAAGCAAAACAATAAACACAAGCGTTTTTACCCGAAAACACAAATAATTACGTACATTACACGTTATGTTATTATATCCTTAACATCCTTAATCGCATGACGTGCCAAACAAACAAAAAACACAATACGCAATCAGAATTCCCCAGAAAAAAATCAAATACAAATCGAAATAAAGATTACATGTTAAAAATTTTATGTTATCCTTTATTCTTTGAATTTCCTGCTTTTATCACGTGAATGTCCGCCGCTATTCAAAACCGCGTTGATTGTCTGTTATCGTTTTGTGGCGGTGAAAATATTTCGCGGTGCGCACAAACGGAAAACCCAACTGGAAATGAACATGGCGACATCTTTAGTGGAAATCTAAAAGTCCATTATTGCCATCATCAGCCATCAACTTTTACAGCCGTCATATTTTCTAGTTTGTTACCTTCTTTTTACACCTATGGCATCGCGCAACGCACACATTTTCTGGACTTTTATTGAGTGTTACATTTTCGTTTTTATTTTTTTGCTTTATGTTTATGCTCGGGGCTCGAATGTGCGCGTGCTGGCATGTTATACACAATATATATTGCTTTACGTTTTAAAAAATTTTACAAACACAATAACATCAACAATGGAAACATATTACCGGATGAAATTACACCTTGGTATAATAAGAGCAATTTCGTAAATATTGCCATCGTCTGTTCGTTATTAGATTGCGACATGGTCGGAACCGAATCGCGCAGGAATGTGTACGTGTGGCGCGACAACGATTATGAGCGTTGTTTAGACGCAGTCGCCGTCTGAATTGTCCTGCAGGACCTGCTTGACTAGCAAAGTTGGTTGGCCAGAACATTCGCTTCATTCTCTCGCTTGTCCTGCTCGTTTTGCAACCTGAAGTACCACGAAGGGCCGTTTCGTGGTAGTGGCAGGGCTTGGGGTCCTGGGGGCGGCTGGGAATCAGGTGCTTTGAGTCAGGAGTTAGTGTTATTGCTTCTGTCTGCGCTCGGGCAGCAAGAAGACGTGGTAGGAAACAACAAAACTAACAATACAACTAATATAACCATGTTTAGACGTTGAAATTTCAAAATTTGGAAAATTATTTTATTTTTACACCAGAAATTAATTCTGTAATCTTTAAAAGCAATATAAATAAAAACGGGACCCAAAAACAAGTTTTTTAACCTTTGTAAAATGTATATCTTTTGTGTCGAGGTTATCCCTCGGGAGTAGTTTAGATACCACGTAGCAGGACCTCAATGTACACTAATGTTTCCATCCTTATTTTTCGTGTTTTGCAAAACTTTATACATTGTAACCTTTTTTCGACATAAAAATTCACTGTTCGGTTTTATTTGTAATAAAATTTTGATAATAACGTCAATAAAATATAACCATTACTAAAATTAGTAAACGCTGTGCGTTATTCGTTATCTTCGGCATGATGGCGACGATCATTATTCGCGGCACGAAATAAATTTTCGAATTTTCGTAATTTAATTCGTCCGGCCGGAACAAACACAGCGAGGCGAGTTTGTTCCCGCATCGCAATAAGGCTTAGCAATAATAATAACGGTCGCTTCATTCGATTATCTCGTGCGTGCGGGCCGGCTGCGAGCCGAAACAATTAATTGTGCATGACGTATTATAATTCCGATATCCTGCCAACACGGCGCAATTCTTCTCTAATCCTGCGAAATGCTTGCAGCTATATATGTGCAAATTGTAAAATCGTGTACGCGCGCTGCAATTAGAAATTTCTCGATTTCGCTACAAAATTAATTGCTGTACTAATCAAAACTGGTATCGGTTACAATCAGCTCACACTTATCCCTCAAAAGTAATTTCTCCATCATTATTCCCGATATAGATTTAATAAAGTATAGTATTCTAATGTGGCATAATGTGTAATATGCGATAATTGTGTTGTCAGCACGCTTGTTGGCTTTTTTCTTGTGGTTTTCAGTGCGTAATTGACGTTTTCCTGTATGATTTTTGCATTAAGTTTGTCACACTAGAAACCGCGTGCAAAAAATAATCGGCGTGCGCTGATTGCCACCCCCGTGGAGGCGGGACACGTTGGCTAGGGGGCTAGGCAGCGTTAATATTTATAATTCAAGCGTTTGGTGGCGTTTATTCACCTTTAACACGCAACGCTTTCCATAACAATAAAATCAGCGCGCGAAATATAAAATATCACCTGAGAACGCCTCATAACGACCGCTTTTCACCGGTTTTATCCACTGTTTGCATGGTTTCAGCGAGATTAGAAGGCGCAACATTCGAAAAAGGTGTGGCAAGTCTACCAAGTAATAAAGAAAAACCTACTTTTACTAAAACATTTGCTATATTTTTAGTTTTAATACTAGTTTTTGTAAATATTATTTGAATATTTCTAAAGATGTAATAGCTGTGCTCATCCTGTGGACGTATAACATAAATGCAAATTACGCAAACAAACTGACGCTGCCAGTGGCGGTGTGCGCGCTGCTGCCGGGATGTGAATTATACGAGTGCGGATTGTTTACACGCGCGGCCATAATAATAATGCCACTCTGTCTCACGGTTACCCTTGCGCTGGCAGCCGGAGAGTATCGTAATGTATCTATACGTGCTTCGATCGCAAATAATGACGAAAATTGATATTAATGTGTTTGCCTACTGGAGTATAACTAATCCACAAACTGAGCTTACGTATACATCAGGAAGTATCGACGTTTAAAGTTAATTTGATGTTTTAATAGAGTTTCCACACAATAAATAACCTACAATTTTTTTAAAGTGTACATTTGGTTGCATATAAAATCTTCTATGTTCGGTACTTATACTGCAACTCAAATTATGACTTTAAATAATTTTAAAAAATGAATGCAGAATTTAAGTTTTTATGACGGCGGCTATACTTTAAGTTTATTTTTAGGTGTCTGATTTGGTGCAATTTTCGGCAAGGCGCAAATGAAGAAATATGAAAGACATAAAGTCACCACTAACGACTTCCTTCTCAGGAAGGTAGTCCTACGAGTTTTCTTCCACCCTCTCTTTCGGGAGACGTTAACAGAAAAAGAAAGAACATGCACAATAAGCACGCACGTCGTAAAGCAAGTCAAACGAGCGCGCAGCTCGCAAACAAAACACAAACGAACGCGTAGGAGGCAAAAATAAAGAAACATTTTCCTTTTCGCAACTTTATCAATAAACATACTGTATAATGCCATCACGCGATGCTTTAAATAATTTCTCCGCGTTTATAAATAAATATTTTCTAAAAATATCTTTAATAATGCCAAGAGAATGTTTTTATTGGATTTATTTTTGTTTCTTTGAAGGATCAAGGACTTTGGCTTTGTACAAGTTTGCTCGTAGTGATTCATCGGTTAATTGCGATGCATTCGCGTCGGGACAAGCGCATCCAAACAATGGAGACGCCCAGAAACTCAGACACCGACCTGAGGATTCCTAAAGGAATCCGGCTAGGAAACAGGGGTAAATCAGGAGGATTTGAATCGTAGATAAACAACTGATCATCCGATCAGTCCCCTTTCATGCCATTGTTTATTGTCCACCTAATTTGAGTCCATTTCATCCGTGATAGTAAATTTAATCAACAAAACATCAAATGAAACCAATTTTTTCAGATTTTTAGATTTTTTCTTGCTTCAATGACATTTTACGGACTTTCTGCATAATGCACAAATCATCCCCCAGCGCTGTCGACAGTTTTCGACCAGTTTCTTTCATTTTTTATTAGATTAGACGTGCGTATCGTTTGGTCCGCCCTTGAGGGGCTGCAATCTATCCTTCTGCGCTCTCTGACGATAATAAATGATTCCGGGAGCCCTTCACTTTTTTATTCGTCAGTTCACGGCTAGCTAATAGGATGTGCATCGCCGGGAAAGCGCACCGATAACCAGTCTCAAGTCCGGTTTATCGCCGACTACGCAATGCGATAAGGACAGGGTGCGCGAGAGGACATCGGGGAGGTGTAACCGTGTCTTAGTTTCGGTTGTACGCTGACGGAAGGACGATTTTCAGCGGAGGTTGTTAATGGTTTCGAAACACGAGCGCGCACGAGGCAAAATTTAAGGGTGTACAGTTGATAGGATTTAAAGGACGCAATTTATAGTTGCAGATAGTTTGATGAGTTTTACTATGTGACGAAAAGTTCAATTAAAAGTGATTCATCGATGTTGCATGGATTTTTAGATGAAAATTTACATTTTTATCAAGTTTACTATCAAATTACAGTAGCTTCCTAAAGGAGTTTTACTTTTGAATAAACTACATCCTTTTTAGAATAATAATTCTCTATTAAAATGTTTTTAAACCATAATTCTATCTTTTATAGTTCTTTAATATTTTATGATTTTGTAAAAAAGTCATATTTTTAATTTTTATTAAATTAACAAAAACCTCAACTTTAAAACAAAATTAAAGGCACATCTATGATATTTTTTCTCAATATAAAAGATGATTCAATTTAATTCTCTATCAATTCTTATCAATTAAATTCGGATTTATAATTTTTTCACTTTTTTGTTCATTTTTAAAGAATAAATTTCATATTTTCACCACAACTAAACATATCTTTACCCAACCCATAATTAAATCCTTCTCTAATTTATTAAATTTGCTATTTTTCTACCTGACATACCCTGTGGGTTATCTTGTAATTTGTAATTTTAATTAATTTCAACTCACCTTGCGAACTCATCACGTTGTCGTTGGGGCATGTGTCTCCGTTTGCGTGTACTAGAGTCCTTCCGAATCACCGACGCACTTACACATCCGCCGTGGCGGTTCGCCAGTCACCTGAAAACAACAACAAACTCAGTCGGAGCCGAAGAGATTCATTAATTACCGGCGTGACGTCGTCGCCATCATCCATCATTCATCATCCCCGGCGAGATTCGCTTATTAGTCGCTAGTCACCGCATTTTTTAAATAATAAATTAGCTTTGCGCAACCGAACGTCGACGAACTCGGTATCGCCTAACGCGGGGGCGGCCGATGGGCGGGCGGGTGGAATGTCGCAATGTCAAAATTGTGGAGGCGCCAGGGAAACACAATTATTAAGCGATGTGGCGGAAAGTAACACAGAGTGGACTAACGAGATTTGGGATACTTTGATTTTATCATTAATCATTGATTACGATAATCATTAAGTAGATGATTTTAATATTTAATTTTTTTACTTAAAAACGGCACAGATTCTAATGAAAAACAGATATTATTAAAATTTTGATTGGGTTTGGCAGGAAATTAAATTTCCTAACAAATATTATTCAAATATTTAATGAAAATCATCCGGTTTTGTGTAAAATTCAAGTTAAAAAACATACAAATGAAAATTTATGTATTCTCGATTTTTTTTATTCGCAATTATTTTTAGATTTTGTGGCTTTATCATGTTTATTCCTTTTGCTACATAAAATACTAGAATTAAAATTTATCCCTCTATAAATTGCCGCAAACTGCACTCTGATAAACTAAAAAGTTTTTGTGTTATAGCGCTTCAAAGTAAAAAAAAGCGCAAAAAAAAATTCCCACTGCCAAAATATTGCCATTATATCGCTTTTAGAGTATACCACCAGTCATACAGCGTTGATTGCTTTGCAAGCGCACACACTTTGAAGGTTATGATATGTGGTAGCGGCGGCAGCGGCAACAACGCGCACAGTTTAACTGACTATATGTGTCAAAGATTAAATTCGTCGAGTGCGTAACACATAATAAATCAACGGCTTTATGGCTCATACAGCCGTTCATATTGCAAAATCCACGCTAGTTAAAAGCGCCGGTTGAATGGAGGCGGCAAATCGATGGCCCGCCGGCCCCGAAATTAACCCGTGAGTTTATTTATTTACGATTTCAGATGCGTATGCGTATGCATAAAACATAAACAATTCTTATTATGCCGAAAAATGGTGGTCGTGGTCAACTATCGATTGCCGCCCCCCAAGCTACCACTCTGGTAAATTTATTGGGCTGTTTAATGTAGTGTTTTTTTCGGTTTTTATTTTTGGGTTGTGCCTGTAGTGTGTATGGAGATGAGGCAGCAATCTGCAGGGACCAGTAATTCATCCAGTTAAGCCACCGCCGCTGCCGGCGCCGAGCGATGGGCAGATGCGGGACCAGAATAAGCGGATATCCGGTCGGCCGTGACCGTTACGCGCGGCGGCGCGGCTCTGGCCATTGATTGGCATCGGATCGCGTCAATTTGGACCATTGGGACATTAATAATGCACCCCCGGTGGCGCGCCCAGGCCCGTCCCCCGGCAACCGCCTCCGCGCCGGCAAAATCCAGCTCGACACTGTGTGTGCGCAATTATTTACAAGAAACCGCACGAATTACGACACCAAAACCGAACCAAGGCCAAATTAAGGTTCTGCTTTGAACACCTCTAAACAACCCTTATCAATGAGATTATTTTGGTATCTTATATGTTTATTATGCTGAATTTAATGCTTTATCATAATCTTCAAACAAAATTTAATTATAGAAATTATTTTAGGAGTTATCACAGAAAATCCACACAAAACCAAAGAAAATTATTGTTAATCAAAATAATTAGCATCAAATTAAACATACTAAAACTAACCATAAAACTTTCAAATAAATTTAAACAATAAGGTTTGGTAATTAATTCAATAAAACCAGAAAAAACGAGGTTAATTGACTCAAATCCCAATTGAAATTAATCAAAACACTTTGTATAGCCCCAGATAATCCCATTACGAGAACATAATTTACTAAACAAGAGATAGATGGGCGGTGCCAACGACAAGAGACAGTGCAGTCGATCCCAGCGGACCTTGGCCGCCGCCGCCGCTCCCGCAATGTCGAACTTTAATTAAAGCAAATAAATAACCATTTAATAACAATCAATTTCGGTCTAGTACAGTCAAATTGTGTTTAATTACAGTAAAAAATCATCCATTAAAAAATAAACATATACAGAGTGTTACATATAAATTTATTTTAATATCGGATTATGTTTTACTGTTTACTCAGATTTATCTACCAAAGAACAAATTAATTAATTAAATTCAATCGTCGTGCATTTAGGATTACGTGTTTGTGCATGCGGTGCACGCGCGTTAAATTTTCTTAAACCGGCGGCCGCCACCCCTAATTCAAATACTAATAAATTACCGCCTCGTTAAGACCCTTTTACGCGCTCGCCTTGCGCCTTGCTCGCCGCTTGTTTGCTTACATATTTGCCAGGATTCGTATATATTTGTGTGTTTGCCTTATATATCACGCTCATAATGTCCACCGCCGGCGGGGGCGGCGGGCGCTAAGCAGATCGCCGGAGAATTTCGCTGGGAATTTCATTACACGAGCGTGCGCATGTATATTACGCGTCGCGTTATTAGTTTTATGCCGCGTGAGGTCCGAACTGCAACAAATTGGCCGAAATTATGCCCCCGGCTGCTAGCTGGACGGGGATGGGACGCGACCAACAAGTCCGTAACTTTATATATAATTTCGGGTGGTGCGGATGCGGCGAGAATGCGAGAGGGAGAAGAATGTGTGGTCAAGTGCAAGGCCCTCGTAATGCACTAATATGTTGCTCGCTTCGGTGGACGAGCATGTGTCTCGAGAATTACTAATTGTAATTAATTTTAACCGCTGCAATCAGTTTGGAATTATATCTTACAAAGGAAATATCAATTGCAATTTCAAACTTAAATATTCATATCAAGAATATTACTGAAACACTCGGTATATATCTTATTGTAAAGGGAATTTAATGCATTATTATTTAAATAAATAATTAGTGTATTATGGTAATTATTTTGGGAGTTATTAATTATTTTGACGTAATTTTGTGAAACATTACAACAATTTTCTCATTTCAAGCTTAAATATTGATATGTTGAGTAATTTGTATACCATCTATAATTATCTCAAAATAATGAGAATTTAATGTACTTTAACGTAAAAAAATAATATCAACAAAATTAAATTTACCTTACGAGATATTTATAACTTTTTCAGCCAAATACAAAGTAAATTACTTTTATGAAAAATTTTTTTCACTTCAATGTTATTTTTTTATATCTAAAAAATAGCCTACACACCCAATATATATTTTATTATAAACCCAATTATATTTACCTAAAAATAAGCTGAAAATAATTGCAACAATGTATTTTTTTCAGACGCAATGAAAAATTTCGCAGCCAATTTCATAAAAATAAAAACCAAACAGAAAAAAATTAACAAAAGCTTAATAAAATGTAATGAATGTACCTAAATAATATTAAAATATTCTGTAAAATATATCACGTACATAGTTCCTAACCACCGAAATACGTGACATACGCGCAATTAAAATCTGAGTGCAGAAATTATCGATTAGCAATTTGGGTGCGCTCGCACGTTTGCGCCGGATTTTTTGCGCGCGCCCGCAATGAGTGGTAGCATAATACTATAAAAAATTGAGTAATAAGTTACAATAACCATTACGGGGTGTATGGGGTTCGTGGCGGGGGCGGCGCGCGCAAACGGCGGCCGTAACTCGCGCCGCTAACTCCACCACTTCTTGTCTCTCGTCTCTCGCGTCCGGGACTTTCCGGACCTTCCTCGCCGCCTGCAGGCTCCTCGCTGCCATGCTTGCTAATGCTAAGTATATAACTTTATTAACCGAGCGTCGCGAACGTGTCGTGAATCAGAACGGCACCCATTTTCTCATTTCAGCCGAAAGGCGGAGAGGAAAAGTGTGCTAGGAAATATAATATACCGAGTGATACTAAATAAACTCTCATAAATGTTTGTGATGATATTTTTGTATTTTATAGTTTTATACTTTCACTGTCATTCGCATTGTAACTGATTTCGCATTATTTTTTTATTAAAAGTAATTGGAAATTTTTGATTGCGATTTTAAACGTTCGTAAATACGTACGTAAATATAGAAAATGTGTGCGGCTGATTGAAATTAATCAAAACGGCATATACAGCGAGCGCGAGCGTCGTGTGTTTGAGTTTTAATATTTCGGCCGCATGCAGAAAATTACGCTCGCAACAATGAACACAAGCGAGACAACGAGCGATGATTGCAGGATTGCCGGACAATATCAAATGGTATTAATTTTTGATGCGACATTTTTCAGCGCACGCTGCACAATTAAAAACAAATCGATTTTTATGTCCTTCAACTAATAAATTCAAACAAAACGTGTTCGTGATTTAAATTTTAATTATTTTTCTGCGTTTAAAAATGTACCATCTAGGAACTTTCAGTTTAAACCGGAAGTCAACGTCTGGCGTTGCAACGTAATGGCGGAGGAGCCCCGGCAAGCCGGAGGCGGGTACGACTCGCGAATCTCTCCAGACGCACTCGGGACGCGTCTCTAGGGCCATCGGCGAAGCTTTTCATGCTTTTCAGCGATACTCGTACAATGCGTCGCATGCAAAACGTGCAAAGCGCTCCCGGTTGCCGAGAATGCACACACGGCGCGCGGCCAGCAGCCCACTTCTAAAGATAAAATTCGCTACTTTTTGCATTCAACGTGTGCAACAATACCGACGTTAGAAAGCGATTTAAAATGTTTCGAAACCCAGCCAAAACCATTGATGCCATCTGGCGGACAATAGATGACTGCCGGAATATTTTCAATGATGTTGCAAAATATGTGTAACGGTGGAGAGATAGGCAGACGATCGATAAACGCAATTTATCCTCTTGTTTTCGCGCAAAGAGTTAAGTAATCTTCGGGATGCTAGATAAACATTTCAGCGCGCCATTCGTCTCGACTCGTCGTGGTGCGCGTTTTCTACGCTCTCAGGCTTTGTTTACCCA